TCTGTTTTGGAATGTGACATGGTTGGGTTTCTATGTATTTATACAGATACTTCAGACTGTGAACTCTCACTAAAAATAAACTAAATATTTGAGAAATATAGATTAGGAGAATAAACTATCAAAATGTCATCAAAAATTTCATTTCTATTGATTTTTCACATGATGGATATGCTGACTTCCACGGTATATTTAATAAGGACAACTGCCCACAAGTCAGCCTCTGCCGCTGGCACAAGGGGACTGATGGGACTTCTGAAAGAGCTGACAAGGCCTTTGCCTGTGACTGTTATTCAGACATCCCCACTTCTTGCTACTTCCTGTATACACTATCAACTCAAACTTGAAGACTCATCAAGCAACTTTACTTGAGAAACTACTAAGAACCAGGTAAACATGAACAGAAGCACCTCATGAAAATCAACAGAGACCATGATAGCAAGCTTCCAGCTGACTTCCCACTGCACTGTCCACCATGTAAAGGACTAGTGAAGAGCAGTATGCGTAAGCAGCAGGGCATACCTGCCGGCTGACAGGCCCTGTGCCAGGCAAAGGCATGGACATAAATGGTTGTTTCACTGGCATGGAGTAGATGACTGTTTTGGATGTCAAAGGTGAGTGATGTGATGAGAAAACTGAATTTGACTTAGAATTAAAAGAAGGAAGTTGTGGAGAGAGGTTCTAGCCAATTTTTCTCAACATGTGGCTGAAGTCCATAGACATTAATAGGAATGTCAGCCTTCTGCAAAGTAGAAATTTGTCTTCTTTGTAGAAGATTTGATTTTCCTGTTAAGGCAAACACACCTGAGCTGACCTGACCTGAATAACAACCTTCTTGCCACAGGGCATGGCTCATTACGCCATCTGCCTTCCCAAGGGAAGTAACCTTTCTCAACTGAAAACTTCTATACTACTTATAGTCTGGGGAATCTGGCACAAAATCACCTTCTAATTTTTGCTCTTATATGGATGTTTTCACATGTTTACATCTTCCCTAAATCCTTTCAAGAGTAGGAATGCTTGTTTCTGGTTCTTACACCCCATGACACATGACTGAGCACACTATAAACAGAGAAAAGAAAAATAATATGTAAAAAGAAAATGAAAATATGAACAAAATCATGTAAGAGAAAAATAATTAACTTCTTGCCATATTAATATTTTGGGGGAACCAATTCTTTTGAAGACACAGATGACAACAGAAGTCATCCTTCAATCAATAAAACCAACCATGATGTATGAGACCAAGATGATTCACAAGTACTGATACTGAAAATATAGAAGCCAGCTGTGATCACATGTGGATTTTTCTTCCTTACATCCCAATATCTACATTACAGTGGCCCTAACCTATTAGTTATATAAAGGCAACAGAGCAGGAAGATGTCATTTCTAGTAGCTTGGGGATTGAAGCCACTAAATGTGTCATATTTACCATTTCAATATGTGTCTCCCTTTGGTATTCCATCAATAAAATTGAGATGACCAAGAACACTTTCCATATGCCTCATAAGAGGATTACAAAATCAATGAGGTGACCTATCTGTTGAATATTTGAAGGGTATGATTTCATTTGATGACTGTTTTTCTTGTTTCCTCCATTAAAGGCAAAAAAGTGCTCAACCGAAAATCAAAGAAACAATGATATACAATCTTACCCAATTTTTTTTTTCAGATTTCAGATAAAAGTTGGACTTGAAAAGATGCCCTGATTTCTTATTTAAAACTATGGTCTTCTAGGATTTCCCTGATACATTTTTCCCCATTTCCTAATAGTATTCAACCAACTGTAACTAGCAGAAATTTTAAACCTCTTCAAAACAAGGTGCTTTGCAAATAGGAACTATTCTTTTCTTAGTAACATGAAGAGAAAGGGAATTTGTGGCAGTTGAATTTATCAGGCTAAAACCATAGGGAAGAATCCATAAATACAAATCTGGCTGAAGACAGGTTTAATAGTAATTATTATTCTGCTGCTGATAAAAAAGCAAACAAACAAAACTTCAGACAAAATGCCTGCAGAGGATGTGCTTGTTTACATTATTGACTGTAAGGAGCAGCTGTTTACCCCTTGCTTCATTCACAGCTGCCCTGTTCTTATAGAATCTTGGACAAATGTCTGCTGTTTAAGGCTCAAAGTTGCTCTGAGAACAGGTGTATCTGATAGAGAAAAAGCAACAACTGTAAATAAGACTTTAAATTAAGTGAAACTTATTTACTGTACACTGAATCTATACAAAAACATCTAAAAAGAATGCTCTAATATTTACTAATTTGGAGATCATTCACAGTTGGGGGCTTTTGGTAACAAACTTCTCTGAGTGTTTTTTAATGAATATCCTAGGCACATTGTATCTGCATAGATGATTAAGTCATTCTGCCAGAAAATGAAGTCATCAACTACTGTGCTTTTTGAAATACTTTATTAACTAACCTTTTGTTTTGGACAGGTATAGGACCTGTAATGATTTTCAGGAACTTTAAACTCAGTTACTAAAGTCCCGTGTTCTCTGGCTAACAATTTTCTTTTTATAAAAAGACATAATGGTGAAGAGGTGCGTATCTGGGAATTCTCACATGCTGCCTGGTGAAGAATGAAGGATAAGAACTGGTGCTCTGCATTGTCACAGAGTAACTGCAATATCTTTTAAAACTGAAGTAAATATAATTCAGAAATCGTACTCTGAAACATCAGGTAAAGCAAGATAGCAAGTTGTATCTATTCTGGGGGAGAGAAAAATCCTGGAAATAATCTCTAGAACATAAATAGGATAATTAATGAATAAATAATGACATACAGTGAAATACAATACAGCAGTTAAGATGAAAGAACTAGGAATTTATGCATCTAAGTGCCTACATTTCTATACTCCATCATTACATAAACTGCAAAGCCCAACATGAGCTGTCTAATACTATTTCTGTATTGCCTAAAGATCACCCAATAGTATATATTAAGGATGTAAATCTAGGTCCTGTGACCTTTAATCCTGATAAGTCAGCTTCACTGGATTAAGAAGCACCTAGCAGATGAAGAGCTCTCTTCTGCAGGCCTTGTGGAGGTGGGGCCTTGCTACTCCACCCAGGACCTCTCCCCTGTTCCTCCTGGGGACTATGCTCTGCCCTGCTTCCTGCCAACAGGAACTGAGCAGCTTTGCTCTCCCACGATTCCCTCCCCTGTGGATCTAGGGGCACAGCCATCATGGACTAAATCCCTGAGCCAATTAACCCCTTCTGTTCTTTAAGTTGAGAGTGCTTGGTATTGCGTCTCAGCAAGAGGAAAGCTAACGAATACATGTAATGAAAGCATAAAAACATAATGTATCGGAATGATACAAGCAGTTTACTTGTGTATATAAATGGGAGGTAAGTGCTATGAGACAAGAACTCAACAGGGACTTAAAACGGTAACATTTTAATTCTTGTAAAATAACTAAATACTGTTACACAGGCTTGGAGCACAAAGCAGAGTAAATGTTATGTTTTCTCAAGACTTTCTGGAATGTGTAAACTAGTCCAACCATAGTCCCTCAATCTCAAATAGGCAAAGCAAGCTCAAAGAATTGAACCTGAGAACAAGTCCTCCTCCCCGTCTATGCAGCCTCCTGCAACCTGGTGACTCCTTGGGTCCCCTGGGCTTTAATTTGAGATTCATCATCTCTGGGTGTGGCCTTTCCCGTACCACTAAAGCTTCTGCTGCTAAGCATCTCCTGACTTTAAAGAATTTTTTTCAGTTAGAACAGGACATATACTTATAAGTAATAGGGCCTTCAAATTTCGTTTTCTAATCAAATAACAGGTCACTGACCCAGCCTTCTCGGAATTGTAACATTTCAACCATGTGAGACCAGCTCTACCTAAAACCACAATGTTAACGTCAGGATTTCCACACAGTCTCCTCAGACCAGCTCAATCTGCAGGACTTGTGCAGCCCAGGCGCTTGAGGACCAAGGATTGTCCGGAATCTATCCAGTAAATTAATCTACATAAGTGTTAACGCTGAAGGGAGGCTAACACAGGGGGGCGTGGGAAACATCGACTTCCTTGAAGCAGGCAGCCTCTTTCAGTTTTTAACCCTGACTCAATTGTAAGCTCCACGCAGGAAAAATTATGGACCCTTATTTTGTTAAGGTTGACAGCTCTCTGATAGATTCCAATAACAAACAAAATAAGTTAATTTGTGTTAAAGCATAAGTGCTCCCAGATGCTTACTGTAGATGTCGAAGGTAGACCCAGGATTGCAAAAAAAAAAAAAAAAAAAAAAAAAAAAAGGCATGGTCTAGAAAGAAATCAAAGCCAGGCTGCCCCCCCCCCTTTTTAAGATAAAGCCCTCCAAAAGATCCCTCCACTTCCGAATACCAAGCGCCCAGCCAGAGCTCCGCCTGGACTCCGGGCCCCACCACACCCCGGCTCCTCACCGCCCTGGCTCGGAAGCCCACGCGCCGGGCCCCGCAGTACCTGCCCGAGGCACCGCGAGCAGCTCGGAGGAGACGCGGACGCCAGGCGGGGCCGGACGGCGAGGTGCGGGGTGTGGGTCGGAGAAGAGGGTGCGGACGCGAGGCTGAGCTGCGGGATCGCACATCCCAGTCCTCTCTCTCCATCTGCTTCCCCGCCGGGGACGCACGCTGGGGACAGCACATCGCCCCAGGCGGGCTCCCTGGTCCCTCCTCTCCAGGGCGGGGAGAAGCAGCGGCGCCTTCCCCGGGAGACAGAGCCCTTTTCCCAAGTCTTCCACGCTCCAGCGCTCGCGGAAACCCCGGGTTCCATCTGGGTCGCTCGAGTCTGGTGGGGGAGAGGGAAGGATGGGGCAGGTGGGGACGCGGGGCGGAAGCGGGGCCGGAGGAGAGGGGCGCGCGGGACTCCGCCGTAGCCGAAGCTGGAGCTGGTGCCCAGCCGGAGCGCACCGCAGCGGCGCGGCCCGGCGGCCCCGAACCGGGCTTGGACCCGCCCAGGCCATTTTATAGGCGCGCGCGAGGAGGGTGGCCGGGGGCGGTGCCGCGCGCCCCGCTCGCCTATAAGCAGCGCCGCCTGCCCGGCTGCGGGTCCAGCTTGCGCGCGCGGCCAGGTGGCTCTGCCGGAGCTCGGGTTGAGCGCCGGTCCGGCGACTGCGTTTGCTTTGGCGCCGCGAAGGAGGCGAGGAGCGGGGACGCGGCGGGCGAGCGCGTGCAGCCGCGACTCAGCGGGGAGCAGCAGCGCCAGAGACCCGGGGAGCCGCGGGCGCGGGATGGAGTGAGGCGTTGGCGGGGCGCTCCGCAGGGTGGGAGGGGCCGGCGGTGCGCGCCCGGAGGCGACTGACGGACCGAAGGACGGACGCACGGAGGGACGCCCTGACGGCGAGCGGTGGCTGAGCTGCGTGCATCTGGGATTCGCCGGGCAGGGACTGCGCTTTCGGGGGAAATGGATTCTCTACTGGGGCTGCCCGGCGTGTGGACTTTGCTGTTCTCAGGCTTCTGGCATTTAGGATTAACAGCCACGACCTGTGAGTACCGGGAGCAGTGGGGACGCGGTTGGGTGGTGAGGGGCAAGCCGCGGCGTTCTGAGAGGCGGTCAACTAAGGTGGACTCATTCGTGTCTGTGCGAAGGGTGAGGGTTGCGGGGGGATGCAGATCTTTGTGGTCTCCTCGCCAGTGCATCCCAAAAGTTAACAGCCCTCGCCTGAGTCAGGCCTGCTAGATTTCCCGTCCTTCCCTCAGAATCTCAAAGTTCCCTCAGTGTCCTAGCTCCTGCTCCGCGCTGTTTGGTCCCAGCTGGCCGGGCATCTGCAGAGAAGGCCCCTGTTCAATCCCGCGCTCTGGGAGCTGCTTCCGGGGACTCGAGGCCCCCGAGCTCGGTGACCAAGGCTGGCTTAGAATGCGGCCGCCTTGGATGTGCAGAACGCGCAGCCTCCCTACCCCGCACCTCGCTCTCTGCACCGCCTGAGGCAGAGAGGACTTCAGCTGGGATGGCTTGCAGCCAGCAGGCAGAGGCTTGACGGGGCTGGGACTTTTGGCCTCAGAACTGGGCCCATGGGGTCACCCACAAAATCAAAGGCTGTTCGTGTTCCAGGAGGAAGAGCTTTGATTCACACCCCACCCTGGCCGCAAATCTTTCATGCCATAGAACACATAATGAGTATGCACTCAGTGTGCACCCTGTGATCCTGACACTAACCCACAGCAAGTGCAGGACAGACGTTTCCTTTCACAGGCAGGCGGCCTGGACACCCGGGGATCTGCCACCTGCACCGTATATTTCAGGAACCTAGTTCTTCAAACTTGAATAAATCTCTAGAGCTCTCAGAGGCTCAAGCTCAATTGCTCTGCTGCTTCTCTAGACAGAGGAAGGGAAATGTTTTTCCCCAGCTCTGGGAACTCTTAAATGAGGAAGAATGCAATTAAGCCATCTGTGTAATTTCCAAAGATGGGTTATGAAGGACCTTCCAGGTTCTGGGCTTGCTCCTGTGTCCTTTATCTCTGCCATGAACCTCGAAAATGCTGTGCATGTTGGAACAGTATTGCCTTATTTGTAAATGCACTATCACTTTTACAGAAAGGTAGAAAGAGCACTTCCTGCTTAGGCTTCCTTCTCTCTCACTGCCCAGCCCCTGTGGTCCACAGAAGCCTGGACAATCTCTTCCCAAAGCGAACCTCTAAGGAAGACAGACATATGTCATGTCTTGAAAAACGTCCATAGAAGAGCTGGTGTTCCTGTGACCAGAAGTTTTGGAGGGTCACACTCTAGAATTACTTGCGATGTTTTGTAATGATTTTATTAAAGTTTATATTCTAAAAGAGGGCTGAAGAGTAAATTAGTTTGGAAATTGTGGGAACATGTAGGAGCAAATTAGAATCTGATTTGTTTTTCATCGCATCCCTCTTGCCTCCTCTTTGCCACCCTCTCTTTCGCCTCTTTTCGTCGTCCTCTTCCTGTAAAATTATTCCCATGTTGCTTTAGAAAAAGATCTCGCTAAGTGGTTGCCAGAGAAGTTAGGTGCGTGTTGAGCTAGTTTTGCTACCTTACAGAACACTAGAGGTCAGTATCGTCCTGGTGATGCGAAGGTGTGGGTGTAAACTACTGTGCTGTCTGTTTGCTTTAGCATTTTTATCTATCTGACCAGAGTGAGCACTTTAGAGGTTCATAAAGGTGGGTTGAGGAATAGGGATAAATTGATAGAATATGTGCCACAGGAATAGAGTTTAAGATTCTCCAAGTAGCACCTTTTCTCAAGAGCCAGGAGAAAAAGTCCTAAAGCATAGCATTTTCTATGAATTAATTGAATTATGGTTCGATTGTTTTAATAATGCTCGTAAAACCTAAATGGCATGGATTTAAGATTCATGCTTATCATTGCTGATGCAGTTATAAAGCTAATTCTGAACACTTAAAATGAAACTTCGTGATAATGAGCTTTAGTATTTCATCAGTGGCAGTTTAATTTCCTTATTTCCAATCAACATTTCAGTTGAATCTCACTACTTGCTAAATATTTTGAGGTCAATGTTCTTAAGGAACAGTGATAAATGTTTATTATGCTGCACAAAATGTATTAATTTAGTGAACAATAGTATAGCAGCAGAAAACTACTTCTGAACTCTACATATTGGAGGTTTCAGAAGCTATGAAGAAAATCTCTAAGAACAATACATTAACATTTAATGTATTGTAACATTTAATACATTTAACATAATTCTCTTAGATTTCTATTGTTCATGCTCTGTATTCACTAAATATGGCCTTGATTTACTACTTGTATACAACCTACCATTTATTTGCATATTTTTAAGAAGAAACGCTGATTTCTTTTCGAATAGGTATTTTCAAGTTTCTGTGGAGGAACTATTTTTAAAGATTATTCTTTCTGTACTTGAAAATATGTCATTTGGGAATAGATAATTTACTCAACTCATTCCATGGTACATAGTTATTCCTGTGCAACTTGTTCAAGTAAAAATAACTTTTTTTTCACTCTCTTTACAATAATTTGTTGTTGTCATTTTTGTTGTGTGAAATGTAAGAGTTGTGTGTGTGTGTGTGTGTGTGTGTGTGTGTGTGTGTTTAATTTTCTTATAATTTGACCATATTGGGCATTTATCTCCAAGGAAAAATTGAATGCTTGTCCAATTATAGATTTTGTAACTTTCTAATTAAATAAGTTTAAAATAAAGTCAGGTTGAGAGAGCCAGGTATGACATATATACTATGAATCTGTGTGAAGAACATAATTACCTACCAGTAATAAAAACTCTAGATATTCCCTCACTTCAGATTTCAGGATATTAAATAGCTACATTTCCTCTGGGTTTACCCTGAGGGGATTGGTTAATTTCAGATATAGATATAACAGGCTAATGTTAAATGAAAACATAATTTAGGAATAGTATCTGCTCCTTTTACTCAGGAAGCAGTGGTGTACCTTGACACTTGGTTAGAAGAGCTAAAGAGTCTTAGTCCTGCTTAAGTTACAGCTAAGGTGTCCAATGCCCATCACCTATTGGGTTATTCAACCTTCCAGGGCTTATAGGTCTGTTGAAAAGCTTTAAGTGGTACATCTACTCCAAGTGGTACATTACTCCAGCAGCTAAATGTCTTACAAAGGAGGTTCTTCAAATATTAGATACCATGAAAGACTTTATAATGGGATAATTTGTCATCTGAAGATGACCCACATAGGACCACTATTCACTTTATGTTTAAGAATATGCATCAGTTATTTGATTCTGAAGAGTCTTAATTTTGAACAGAGACTATTTTAAATGATTCCTTAGAACTTCATCTAAGTTATTTTCTTCATATTATGCTCACAGGAATACAGCCTTGAGGAGGGACTAAAAAACTTGAGTCTAGCTTTTTCATCACATACAGAAACTAATCTAAGATGTTTGAGGATGTTAATTATATTCATAAGGATATTCACATGAACTGGTGGGTTATACCTTGAATTATCTGACCCCTTTGTTCAAGCCTAACCAGTAAGTAATATGATAAATAAACAAGGGTCATGCTGTTGTTATTCAGTAGGAAAATATTTAGGATATATTTTTGTGGCATTTTCCACCAGCAGAAGTGAAGGAAGCACTGTAATTCTCATTTGGAATTGTTCTAAAAATTTCGCCATTGTTGAATTAATTTATCTTTGACCATCTGTAAGAACTCCCCTTCCATTCTCTTAGTATAGCTTCCCATCTCCAAACTAGATTGATATTTTTACAGTTGTAAAATGTAAATAAAACACTTGGCTACTGATTTTCTAAGGAGGGAGCAAACTTGTGAGATGCTTAGTTTTTATTTGAATAACCTCTGTTACCCTACCATACTTTTGTTCTAGTGAGTGACTGGTTTCTAAATTGCAGTTTCTTTTTCTCTACCCTCTACATTTGCTTTCTCCATTGGATCTCAGTTTTCCTGCACGGAATGCCTCACTTTTCAATGTTCTTATAAACCGATGTATCATTTGAAAGATTCCTGAACTCTTTATTTGGTGGTCCAAAGTTTTTATAAGCTAGAGTTCAGATGAAATGTGGCAGTGTACCATGTTAATTAATTATCCTTATCAGATAGGAAAGATCTAGTTGCTGAAAAGGATAGAAGACAATAGTGAATGGAGAATTTGTGAACTACTCATTTGGAGTCAATATTTTTTAATTCCTAAGGAAATTCGTTCATCAAATCTTTACCACATTCTGACTGGTGACTTTCTAAAGGTTACTTACTTATCCTGATGATCTTAGCGTCTGAATCAACCCTGAGTGCACCAGATGTACCTTAGTGTAAAGGAATTGGTTCAAATGATTATAAGGACACTACTTCTAATGTGTTCTTACTTTTAAATGCTGACATGCCAGGAGTCATTCTGTCTGTATACTTCTTGGGTGATTGTAGTCCCAAACAGTTATAGTTTAAAAAAAATAGCATAAGAGGATTTTAATTCTTAGCAATCGGTATACATTTTATATATCTTTATATACATAATTTTGTAAGGCTGCTCAGGAAGGTAGATTTTTACAGATCCAGCTAGTACCTGAGTAAATTTTAGGATAATAGTACTTAATAATTTCTCTAAGATCATAGAGCTAAACAATGAAAAGAACAGGATCGGGAATTCTGTCTAGCTTTTAAATACTGAAATGCATTCCAATTTATTTGTTTAGGCAATGAATATAACCATCTGTGGAAATTTGATCTGGGATACTTACGATCAGTGTCTCTAACTTAACCCATGGAAAAGGTCTTAGACTAGAAATTTTTAACACAGCAAACTCGTGAGTAATGCCTTAAAAAATTGGGATCTAAACTTGATGCAAAATGGTAAAGGTAACAATGATAAAAAATGAGAGTCCTTATAGCTTGGTGAAAGCTTCATGTCTGTATTTTCAAAGTTCTAAATTTAAAAGGCTTGCTAAGGAAACGACATAGACTTGATGGAACCTTATATGTCCTATTCGCACATATATCCAGGAATATAACAATACCTATAAAGGACCTTCTGTTGATTTCACATCT